GGGGGGGGGGGGCCAGCAAGAGGACTGGGTGCCACCGTGTGAGTCTGTTTTAGGAGACACATGCCCCCTTTTTACCTTTTCTATCTAGTTTTCTCACTACCTGTCCTCCGTTCCTTGGGTGTGTATTTCGTCCTTTCTCCCCCACACTCCCCTGGCCTAATTCCTCTGTGTCTGCCTCTGCCCAGCCCCTTAATCTTGCATTCAAACAACAGCAACACTACTGGATGGCAAACATGGGCCTTTCTTTTGAGATACATGCAGTGGAATAACCCATAGCTGGTTCAGAAGCTCAGGAGCAGCAGCAAGTCTAAACAGAGAAACAGCCCCTTAATCTCGTAAGAGGTGGGAGATAGGCATGGACAAAAAGAGGCACCTTGATAAGAGAGATGCAGAGTGGAGAGATGAGCCAAATCACTTAGTGCAGGCACCGGAGACGGTTGCGAGTCTCACTTGACAGCCCTGAGCTACATACATCTTTGTTGCCCAGTGGCTTCTTGGGATTAGGGGGAGCCCAACGTTCAAATCAGGAGTACTGTGGAATACCTTTAAGCTCCTGGGATGGTGTGGCTACCTTGGTGAACCTTTTAGCGGAAGGTTTGCAAAATGGTAGAGAACCCAGGAAAAATTATGACTGACCCAGACGCAATCATTTTGAACCAATGGCAACCCCTCTAATGGGCCCCCTTCTCCTGAGTTGTCAATATCTGGAAGGCAGGACCTTTTCCTACATATGCGCAGTGCTCCCTTATCAACTTTTGCTGACGTGAGCTGTCTGGAGACAATGTCTTCAACTACGTCACACTGGAGAAAGAAACTGTTCAGAAGGAAAATGGACCTGAATCAGTTTCTTTGGTGATGTATATATACATTTTTCGGTGATGTACTGAAGACAGAGTGATGGTGACAAGGCTCCTGAGCACCCATCATGAGCCTGCTTGTCTTCATGGTGTCCTTCCATCTGTTGTGTCATCTCATCTTTATATAATTAAGTACAGAACAACAATATTTTGCAGATGAGGAGACAAAGTGGTAGAGCTGACTCTAACGCCTGCCTGCCTTCCACTGAAATACAGTTCACCGAACAGTGAAATGCCCACCGAAGAACTGCAAAGGGTTTTGAAGTCTGGAGTATGCTCCCAAACCACAGCTGAGAGCAAGTCTTATAGAATGCGCCAGGGCATGGCTGAAATGTGAAGACCTTGGGGATCTCCATGGTTCCTGTCATCAGTTTCCAATTTGTCTTTGGGAAAAAAAAATCAAAAAAATCACACGACTACTTGGTGCTTTGGTTTCCCCAAACTGAGAAATGGGAAAAGTATTATCTATTCACTTGAACTCTTAAGAATGCCATAACCTCTAGGAAAGCTGTTTGGAAACACAAGGGCCATGCAGTCATGTGGTCTAAAACACATGTCCTATTTGAAGTTAATATTTTTCATTTAGAGCCACCAACTGCATTGCAAGTTACAGACCTAACATTCCTGCCAGTTCCTGGAGAAGGAAGCAGAGGTGGGGCAAGCGGCAGCCTTACCAGCAGTAGTCCAGCAGGTGCGGCGGCAGGACCGGGATGTACACGTGCTGCCAGAACATGGGGTAGAGCATGGCGGCAGAGCCGTGGATGCAGGCAGTTAACTGCAAGAGAAGCAAATCAGAGGCTCAGAGCTAACAGTCAAAGTGAAGAGACACTGTCCTATTGGAGGCAGCAGTAAAATTAAATACATACTTCTCAAAGTATTTAAAATAAATGAACTCAATCATCCTAATTCAAATTTAATAAGAGCCTGCTTTTCAAAAAACAATCTATTTTTCCCCCGATTATGAAGCTAATGCACAATGACAGTAGAAAATTTAGAAAATGAAAAAAGGGATAAAAGAAAACAAAAGTCTTCACCATCTGAAAACAATTTAACATTTTGGGGTATTACATACACATGCACTTATATTTCCTTTTCTAATAAAATTAGGATTATTGTAACTACAGTGTTCATTTGCTCTTTTTTTTGCAAGTATGCTCTTTTTTCTTCAAGTTAACATTATTTGCTGGCATTTTCCCCATATCTTTAAATATTCTTAGAAAACATATCTTTTAATGCCACTCAATAAATTTCCCATACTATATTTAACCACTCTTCTACCATTAAGTTACATAATCAGATCAGCTCAATAATTTTTATGTCTGGTTCCTAGATGTAGAATTCAGAGACAAAAGTTATAAATATTTTAAGGCACTTAATAAATATAACAATATAAACATAATAAATGCACTCATATAACCGGTGAAGGATGGAGGCTCTTTACACGCGCCCAGCCGTGTACTAAGTGTCCCCTTCCACCTCACCAGCACTAAGGACTGCAGCCAAGGCAGCTTTAAAACTGTATCTCTCCGTTTTTATTTTTATTCCTCTGGTCATGACTGAGGCTGAACATCCTGTGATAAGTTTCTTGACTATATTTTTTAGGTAAATGGTCTGTTTCCTATTCTTAGGCCACTTTTTCTAATGAATATTAATATTTTAAAAAATTGATTTACCAGCAAACAGTGGATATGCAAAGGACACTAATCCTTTGCAATGTTCTGGAAAAAATAATCCATCCTTATTTTCTTTGAATTTTTGGGGTAAAGAGAAGGTTGAAATAATTACATAGACAAACATTTTCCTTCATGATGGTTTCCACTGCTTTTATACTAAGAAAGGCCCCCATGTCTTTCCCCAGCATTTAATTTTAATCCATCTGGAATGAATTCAGGTTTAAGGACTGAGGTGAGAATTTATTTTTTCCACATAGTTAATCAATTGCCCCAGCACTGTTAACTGACTAATCCTTCCTCCCCTATCCTTTTGACATGCCCTTGTCCCATATTCCTTTTTTTCTTAAGAGCTAGACACACCATACAATCAATATTTGATATAATTACATTTTCAGAAACAAAGATATAATGGAATAAAATCGTTACAAAATTCAATACCATGAAAGAAGGGAAAACCAACACCTTGGGAGATACGACTAGGAAGTGACAAAAGCCAACAACACATGCTTCTCTCTGTCTTGTTTCTCTGGTTTCTGGGAAGCCTGTTCCCACGAGGGCCTTGCTTCTTTTGGAAGCTGTTAACTGGCCTTTGCTGACAGAAGGACATTTACGTGGCGAAAGAGTGACGTGCCAAAGCCCAGTTAAAGAATCCCAGAGGTTAGTGTAACATGAACAGCTTTAAATTGGATATTCTGCTGATGTTTCACAGTTGTGAGAGCTGTGTATTAAAATCCAGGGCTGCTACTCCCCCCACCCCTTTTCCCTCCAGACCCTGCTCTTTAAATCAGGTACATGTCATGACCAGGAGCCGGTCCAGCAAGCTTTCTAGAGCTGTTCCCAGTGACACCATCAAGGCTTGTAGGTTTAATCCAACCCTCCTAACCCATTTTAATACGTTTCCATATAAAGAAGGGTGTCTGGTCATATTTTACATGACTAATCTCTTCAGGTTTAGGAGATGAGAACTCTCTGCGGGTGTTGAACGAGGGGAAAATGAACCAACTGCACTCCGACTCCACCCTGAAGGCAGGCTGGGGGGCGACACTGCCCATCCTCTGGCTGCCAACGTACTCTTCCTGAAGCGCAGGTCTGGTCATGTAACACCCTGCTCGGAAGCCCTTGGGCGCGCCCGGAACAGGCATGTCTCCACCTGTTCCCAGCCTACTGCAGAGCAGCGTCTCCGGCCACGGCCTCTCCTGCCTTCTCCAAGTCTATCCTTGGAATAACGCATTCGCAGGCTGAGGAGGAGGTGTGTGCTCCTCTTCTTTCTCCCCTCCCGCCGGTCCCCCAAACTGGCCTGGGTTTTTGCCCAGAGCAAACTCCCCCTGCCTCGGTCTGTGTGCAAGTGCGGCCTTCCTCGCATGGCTCTCCGGGGCACACACCCCACTATCAGTGCGACTAGACTGCCTGCGTGTTTGCCCTCTCACTGCAAAGCACAGGGGCCTGTCTCTCTTTTCCTCTCCATGTTCTCGGTGGTACAGCATGCATACAAGTGCTCGCTAACCCAATGCTTCCTGAATAAATAAAAAATAGTTCTACTTAGAACATAGTCACGATATAAAGATAGATAATGGCTTGGCTTTTAACAGTATTGGGTCAATATTTTCATGAGTCTCACAGAGTGGGGTATATGACTCAAATTTCAAAATAGTAACGGCAAGCTTAGACACTTCTTGGAAAATCAAGTCAGCGGCTTCCTTCATCCATCCATTCGATCATATGTCTACTGTATAACTCTTCAACACACCAAGTAAATAAAANAAGATATGCCACTTCTTGGAAAATCAAGTCAGCGGCTTCCTTCATCCATCCATTCGATCATATGTCTACTGTATAACTCTTCAACACACCAAGTAAATAAAAGCACTGTAAAACCTATATGGTGCCACACAATTGTGAGGCATCATCACATGAATTCATTTGTAGTTCTCTTTGGAAAAGTCATTCAATGGAATTTCCTGGTTGAAACAGAACTTGATTACCTGCCTCTTTTTAGCTTAAACTGGTTTGAGTCTAAACCCTATTTCAAGTGAAAAAGTGGCAGAGGTGCTCTCTTCAGATAGTGTTCTTTTTATGTCTCCTTAACCTCAAAAAAACCACACCAAACAAACCCCTGGCCAAGATAAGTGCCAAGATTTTAAAATTTCTCATCCCTCATATGAAACAAACTTTGAAGGTGTCTGATCATCATTTTCACTGGGGTTTTCTAAGGGCCAAGTCTCTGCAAGTAGAGTAAAATGCATTTACCCATTTGATTAAGAAAACAAACAAACAAAAAGGAAACGGTTGGGCTCTTTTACCAAATATAAAATGCACAAACAATGTGCACCGTTACTTAGGAACAGTGACGGAGTCGACCACAGGAAAAGCATCATGATACTTCTATGCTTAATCAGAAAAAACGTACAATGTCCTATAAGTTATCTAACTGGCTACTTATTTGAAAAATAACTCTACTACCAACCCTATTTTTTAAAATAAGGATACTAAAGGCCTATGTTCATTTCTTACAGAATACAAAATTTAAAAGTAATGAAAGTCTACAATTTGGATTACACTCAACAAAGGGGTACTGTGAATATTTAATTGAAGTGTAAGTTGAGGAAAATGATCCTATCAAACTCTCACTCGGTGGGAGAATAGAAAGATAGTATGTGTAAAATTTGCCCAAAGTCATTAGTCACAATGAATATTCATCAGAAGCCAATTATCAATCCCATTTAATGACACCCCAAAAGATTTTGCCCTGAAGCAGCTGAATAGTCTAAGACTCCAGACAAAACTAGACAAATTATACAGCCAACAGCCAGTCTAGCCAGGACACAGATTGTAAAGTAAACCACTGGTGGGTTTTTGGACGCACTTTTAGCAAATTCTGTCCTCAATTAAAGATGCACAAGGTCACTTCTATCTTGGAGCTTTCTATACGGCTTCATTAATTTTCTTTGAGGCAAAGGGAGAGAAAGGGAGAAGGCAGTGGGGATAGGACATGAATGAAGAGCGATCAATGATAGAGTTGAAAAAAATCTCACACACACACACACACACATACACACACACACACGTGTATTTTAGTCTAAGGTATTCCTCAGAGATAATGCCCAGATTGTCTCAGTCTTAGATTCCAATGGTAGCTCCAAAATTTAACACAGAATAAAAGTAAGAATCTCCCCCTCCCTCCCAAAAAAGAATCCCAACAGTGTAAGTGCCAGGCACCATGTCAGGGGTTTAGAATCTTGCAAAGTAGTATTTTAAAGGAGTGTGTGTATGTGTGTGAGTGTGTGTTTACATACATACACCCTCATCACCACACTTCACAGATAAGGAAACAGTCTCTGAGGTGAAATAANAATGGTAGCTCCGAAATTTAACACAGAATAAAAGTAAGAATCTCCCCCTCCCTCCCAAAAAAGAATCCCAACAGTGTAAGTGCCAGGCACCATGTCAGGGGTTTAGAATCTTGCAAAGTAGTATTTTAAAGGAGTGTGTGTATGTGTGTGAGTGTGTGTTTACATACATACACCCTCATCACCACACTTCACAGATAAGGAAACAGTCTCTGAGGTGAAATAACTTGCCCAAGGCCACATAGATAGTGACAGAACTGGGACTCGCATCCAGGCCTGTCAGACTATAATGGCCACTGTGTTTCCACAATGCATAAATTAACTTAACAATGTTTAGAGTGCCTACCCTGTGCCCATACACTGTGCTGAGGATTCTGTACTAGGTGAGAAACTGTCCCTGTCAGCACGGCCAAATTAGGTAGAAACATTATTTGCTTTGCTGTTCGATGAACAAATATCTAGGGCAAAATTCCAATGAAGAGAAAATAATCCTTTTAAAACTGAACACAGATCTGACAATTTCCTGGGGATTAGTTACATTTAACTAAGGTGTTATAGTGTCTTTAATCCACAGGAAATTCTAGACAACGAGGTAATGACTGTCGAAGTGATGGTTTACACCCCAATTTGGGGCACCTGTCTGAAAGTCTGGGCTTCCGTCATGTTCCCTTTCACACACTTGCATGGAGTTTCCACTAATTCTCTTTTTTGATCTGAGTAAGCCACTTCCTCTCCTGGGTCTCAATTTCCCCTCT